GAAGACAATCTAATAAAACCTTCACGTTATTAAACATTTATCGCCATACACTATTTGAAAACCTTGGACTGAATTTCACAACTGTTCTTCCCACCTCACAAATGCCCATTGCCACTACCTTGGTTCTGTGAAGACGTGACAGGTGAGGAGAAACCGAACAGCTTAGTCTATTCGTTTGTAACACTCATATCTGTAACTGGTGTGTGGGACGGAAAGCAACACACCTTAACTTTCTGTTGAAGTCTAGATGTGTGGTGCTTCACCTCCATGTCCCCTTGACTACTTTATGCTTTAGGTGGGTAACGTTTTAGCATAAGGGCTTATGGGAGGACAATAATTTCAAAACACAGTTCTGCTTTATAAATCACTGAAAATTTGTATGCACCAACTACACGAGAACTAAGCGTACACTGCACGATTACTTGGAAAATTAAAAATCAAGAGGGTGTAATGCCTTCGTTTTAAGCACAAAACCTATTGGTTCAGAGAAAATAACACAATTTTAAAACTTTTACCAAAACCTGGTACTGAAATACTTCTTTTGGTATTAAAATGGGATCAAGTAGTAGGCTATTGAGTAATAACCAGTATCGTAAATATCGTAAATATAACATAAACTTATTTCACATGTCATCTCTGGTTCGGAGTCGGCTGTTGGTAGTCATAAGTTTCAGGTGGAAAGTGGCATTTCGATGTTGACCGTGAGGAATCTCCATTGTTAGAAGCCACTACCTAGCAACGATTAGTGACGACAAAATAACAAACAGAAGACTCTGTGTGTGCGGTAGTTGTCATAAGTTATATAGTGTGTAAATTAGTGAGGCACTTATAAACATTTGTAATTACAAATCATGAGTGCTCACTAAATCCGAGCATGTGACAACTGGTGTCAGGTGTGACTGCACGAACTGTATTGGAACCGACGAGATAGCTAACCATAGCGGACATGTAAAATCTGATAGCCGCCATACGGGAACTGCGGATCAGTGAACAAATGGTAACGGTTAATATTAAGGCCACATCAGCTGACCAGAAAGAGACGGCCGCCATGAGGGCTGGGCAAGAAATGAAAGCGACGATAAGCGCTGTTCGATCTGCCCAGCCAGACTTCAGCAAGCGCGTAGGAGGCATTCCGGCGTCCATCGACCGGAAGATACAAAGCCCCCGTGAGCAGCTCAGCAGAAGCCACGGAGCGTGAGCGGAGGCAGCAGGATTGCCGCAATCTGCGTGCCGGCTCATGTGCTCGCAGTGTGGGGACACCGTCCACCTTATGAGACTCCCGACAGGACTTTCCAGAGGTAAGCTGACCGAGACCCGAGAAGCGTGAAGAATACATAAAAAAGGCGTTAGTGCCATCATTTCCCCTTCCTCGTTACACAGTTAGCGCGCGGACAAGAACAGATAATAGCCTAAAAGCCGAGGGACGGATATTAGACACAGAAGCATTCGTGACCATCGCCAGGCCGGACATCACCGCTGGTCTGCCAGAGAGAAGCCAGCCCATGCGGCGCGCCCTGCAGACGCCATCAAGAGAGACCCTCCATATCTTGTTGGTGGCTTTGGTAAAACTGACCCTGGGGCCGCGCCCACTAACTTGGGTGTTCGTCGCCTGTGCCTGTAACGACTGGAGACCGCCGGTCGCAAAAGTACACTGAGGGAGGCGCGCCCGTAAAAGGACCATGGTGCTCGAGACGAGCTGCCCTAAGGAGGGAGCAGCAGCGTGAGACCTACGCGCCGCAAGCAGAAGCGTCGGTGCTAGCACAGACATGTCCCCTTGATGAAGGAACGGCGACGTGCCTGTAGGCTACTGGGGACACGCAGCCTTACAGAGGGAGCAATGTGACATGACGGCTGAAAGCCGAATATTGGAAAAATAAGAAGCAGCCATCGCTAGCCAACGGCACGGTAAACATGTTTCCACAGCAATCAATCAACACCCAACAATACAGGAACTGTTGGAAGCGGCATTTTCTGTGTGGTCCGCGCCGAGGCTATACACCAAGGGCCAAAGGGAAAAGTTATTCACTCCCCGCATGGAGGTGGGTTCGAATACCTCCACCGTAGACCTGTGAGTCGTAGGAGGAGACGAAAAGGGAACTCAGTGCCTGAGGGTACAACTGGGCCACACTGTTCCCGCGGTATATAAATACGGGGACCTGGCCCTCAAGGTTGGTAGAATCTTGAATCTGAAACGTACAGGGCATTCAATCATCGAGGAAACCTGGGAGCAGCGCACAGCGGACATAACATTTCTCAGATTGCTACTGTAACTGCCGATAGCAGAATGAGTCACTGTCGCTGATAAACGCAATCCATCAGGTGGTCTGATCTTGTCACTGTAGTACGACAAATTTACAGATACATTTTCTGTAAATTTTTTCCTTACAAAGTTTCGACAATAAATACACGATGTTCAATAGTGAACTTCATTTCAGTATCGACACCTCTAACAAAAACTGACTATTAATGAGACTTACTGCAGTGACAAGATCAAACCTCCTGATGGCATGCATTTATCAGCGCTAATGACTTGTTATCGACAGTTACAGCAGCACTCAGGGAGAAACGTTCTTTCTGCCGTGCGTTGTTGCCAGGTTTCCTAGACCGTTGACCATATTGTATAATAGTTATGAGTTCCCGAGACTTTAACCCGAAAATGACTGCGCTGGCAAGGGTCCGCAGCAAATATAAATGACAGACCCATCCTCTTGTCAGAGAGGGCATCCCACATGAACAAAACCGCCAACTGAAAACCTCAAAACCCGCCAACTGTCTAACAGTAACAAAAATCTGGTCTTGGGCCCCAGATCAGGGCTTGACACCAAGACAGACTCGCCAACTGACTGTTGGTCATAATACAACTGTGACTTTGACTTTGACTTCAAAGTTAGTCTGGAGGTCAAAGTTGGTGGTTAGTAGTCGCAAGTTGCAAGTGAGCAAGAGCAGCTCATGGTTAGCCAGGAGGAATCTCCACTGTTAGCACCTGCTACCTAGCAAAGACTGGAGATGACAGAATAATAAACAGAAGACACACAAGCTACAGTTGTAGTGATCTATACTGTGTGTAAATTAGACTGTTATAATCATTTGCAGTTACAAGTTACAGACATTCAGTAAATCCAATTATCAGCCCAAACCTCACGTCCAGTCACTAACACATGACAATATTATGAATTGTCCTGCGTAACAGTTTTTCTTCACTACTATTTTTTCAACAAATTCTTTATTAAAAAGAACAGTTTAAAATTTTCCAAAATACCACGCAAGTTGGTTCAAGCAATAACATATCTTATTTGTATTTTGAAGATACACAGTTTAAATCTTGGCTGGGGCATTATCTGAAATTTGTAAGGCTTTCCACAGTTCCTCCTGGCATAATTTCGAGGCAGTACGTGGTCAGACACAGAAAACTACTGCTATTAATACACATCAACATGCATCTATGTGCTAATGACTGCTGCGCTTGTTGCACAGTCTGCCTTAGCTGCTCAGTCTTGCAGCATTTTGTTCGCCAGTCAGAACACAGCTAACGTGGACTACATAATCCATTCGACAATTTTAGACTCATAGATTCCTTCTGTAAATATTGGTCAGCATGCAATAATAGCAGTTTTTTTATTATTGCTAGTGGGGTGGGACTAAGTCCTGTGTACTGCGGCCACTTCTGGCCTATTGTACCAGCCCCAGATGATAGGTGAGGGTGATTGTGGAGCAATTGGTGGAATCAAGATTGGCAGGGGAAACTGAAGTACTCGGAGAAAACCTGTCCCAGTGCCACTTTGTCCACCACAAATCCCACTTGACCAGACCTGGGCCACCGCAGTGGGAAGCCAGTAACTAACCGCTTGAGCTATGGCGTGGACAATGAATGTAGAATCAGCCTGATGATAGCCAACTAAGCTCAACTACATGCCAAATAACTAGATGTGTATAATTAATTAATTACTGCATGCTACGTTGATGGAACCTCCACATCTATTAATTCACTCCACTTGATGCTCAAGTACAAGGGGTACCCAAAAGAAACCGAACTTATTTTTTTAAACTTATTTATTCAAATTTTAAGCACAAACCTTCAATCCCCTTCAAAGTACTCTCCACTTACACTAATACACTTGTCTAGTCTTTTATTCCATTTTTCAAAACATTGTCTAAATTCATCTTTTGAGATGCTTGACAGCGCCTCCGTCGTTTTTTTCTTTCATGTCTCTTTTCATTCGAGGAAACAAAAAAAAGTCGCACGGGGCAAGGTCGGGTGAGTATGGAGGGTGAGGAACAGGGGTCATACCATTTTTGGTCAACAATTGTCGTACAGACAGGGCTGTGTGAGCAGGGGCATTGTCATGATGGAAAAACCAGTCACCAGACTGCCACAAATCTGGCCGCTGAGCTCCAAGTCACTCCTGACAGCTCCACAATTTCTTCAATGGTCCGTCGTCGATCTTCCTTGATGATTTCACGAATTTTTTCAACATTTTCATTTGTTTGGGCCGTGGAAGGACGACCAGAAGGAGGTTTGTCATCAACTGACATTTCACAATTTTTGAAACAGGAAAACCACTCAAACACTTGAGTTTTCCCCATAGCATCGTCCTTGTACGCCGTTTTTAACATTTCAAGAGTTTCTGTTCCACTTTTCCCCGAGCAAAAAGCAGAATTTCACACTGTTCACGAAAATCAACCATTGCAAAAACGACGATCACACAAAACAGTTGTCACTTTAAACTCTGCCGAAACTAGTCCTTACCTTCTGAAGCAATGGTAGTTGGCTTATCGACTCAGGAATGTTAGCTCTATGCGCTCATAGCGGCAAAACGCGGTACTACAAAAGCTCTGCCCACAAAAAAATTAGTTTGGTTTCTTTTGGCTACCCCATCGTACAATAATTCATACATCATAACCTCTCAGGTATACACAGCAGGATACTGTATTTTAAAGGAAAGGCAAATGGATGGAAATTTCATAGGAAAAGGCAAGACTATGTAATGCAGACACAGACATGTAGAAGTGTTGTGCAAAATATATTTTTATGATTAAACAGTGTGTAATGGCACAGTGTGAACAATATAAAAAATAACAATATCTGCATGTGCCTGATGATGTTTCACGCCCAATAATTCTGCTTCTTGTGTATTACAAAACATTTTTGGATCTTCACAAGAATTGCAAGCAGCAAACTTATTCCAGGATTTTGAAAAAGTATTCGACCTTAAAGAAAAAAAACACAACATTCATCAGTGTTCATAAAAACACAGAGATGATATAAATGCAGAAAACAATCAATCATACCTATCCTGAATATAGAAATATCCCTACATAATCATTTCAGTACACTGCACCTCCAACTAGTGCCAAAGTCAAGAAAATGAGGATCTATACTTCCACTTCTCCATACACCTTCATGGTGTATTGCTTAATTAGTTAAGCACAGGGACAACTTTACATTTACCATGCTGTGCAATAGTTAGCAATCCTGCTTGGTACTTTGGAGGTCCCCAGTTTTAATCTTAAAACCTGAGACAAACTATCTGACATTTCTCTTAGTTGATTGAAAAAAACATTTTTGTTGTGCTGATGGATAACCTTACCAAAATATATTTTAAAATTACCTCTAAAAGTCCATCCTCTGGAAGATCAGTGCAGTGAACTGCATTTTGTACTCTGGTTTTGCCAAATTTAGCTCTGAGTGTAGTGGGACGCAATTTCCTCGCCAACTCCTGCAAGGAAAAAAAATGATGTGACATAAGCCAATTCTCTGTTCATGTGTTTGAATCACAATACTTATTTAACAGTTTCACTGCTCACCTGACACTGCGTATCAAACCACCTAGCAAAATAGTCTCTTCATTATCATCAACTAAAACAAGTAAGCCTGCAGGCCTGTTCTAGTCCCATTAACACTATATCTGAACTAGTATACTCAGTGCTTGAGGTGGAATGAAAATAGAACCGGGATGGTTTTCCCCTTTTAATTCAGAGACATAGTGTACATTGCATTTACTGCCAAAGAAGTAACGGGATGCTTTTAAGCCATTTAGAAAAGAACCGGGATGCCATCCCGCCCCACCTCAAGCCCTGAGGATACTAGTTCTTTGTCAATCACTGTCTCCTTTTCCAAGTTCAGCCGTGATACTCTCTGGTCAGCACTCCAAATCTAATTTATAATGCTATATACGAGGGCTATATGGAAAATAACCTCTAGTGAGCTGTTGACAAAACAAGTAATCAGAAAAAATGTATTACATATAAAAAACATGTACATGTGTAAGTTACTTCTCAACATAGTCACCACCAGAGCTGAGGCACTTGCAGTATTGGGGAATAAGTCTCTGTATGCCTGTGCCAGGGCTCAGCCACTTACGTTTTGTCACCTTCCATCAACTGTGAGCACAACCGGTTCTTCACGCAGGTAAACAGGTGGTAGTCGCTCTGAGTGAGACCAAGACTGGAAGGAGGTTGGCCAAAAACTCCCAGTTGATACACTGCAGCTGTATGCGGACGCGCATTGTCATGGTGGAGCACTATTATGGATGTCAGCATTCCAAGCCTTTTGTTTCGAATGGCCCTACAGTCTTTTAGCATTCTGCAATACACTTGTGACATTATGGTCCCTTGCTGCATGAATTCCACCATCAGCACTCCTTTCCTGTCCCAGAAAACAGTTGCCATCAGCTTTCTAACAGATGTTTGTTTAAACTTTTTTGGCTTCTTTGGTGAATGTGTGCGCACCCACTGCTTCGACTGCTTTTTGATTTCAACATTCACAAATGAAACCCAAGTTTCATCACCTGTTATGATGTGACTGAGAAATTCATCACCACCTTTGTGGTGCCACTGTAAAAAAGAGTCGAAGCTGAAGTCATTCTCTGCATTTTGTGCAAAGTTGTGATAGCACAGCATAACTACGATAATCTCATAGAGAACAATGCGTGAAATTTATAGAAATTCACTCAAAAGTTCAGTTATTGTGTCTTTCACAAATTTTTTGGCCAACACTTTGAACAAGATCATCAATCACTATGCTACTGACTGTGAACATTTGTTCGCCCATCTCTGAACATTCTGCACCATTGTCTTACAGTTCTTTCACTCATTACATTTTGGCTGTAAACGGTGCATAATTCCCAATGGATTTCCAGCACTCATGTTTCTAGTATAAAGCAGATAACAGCGCGAAATTCACAGCTGGTGGGATTTTCAGTCACGGGACACATCATAACTCACTCTGCAGAGACAAGAACAAACACTAGGTGACCAGTTATATGATGGTTTACAAGGCAATAAGCCATATGATGCTACCTCATATGTACTCCTACATTAGTTGCCCAAAATAAATGGGGGGGTTACTTTCCAAATAGCCCTCATAGTAAAGTTAGCACAACTGTGAAATTTCATCACATACTAATGCCTAAAAGCCACGGAACTTCACCTCCATGCCCTCTAACATCCTTCATGGTGCAATCATTGGATATGAGGTAACATTACTTCTACCTCTCTGCTGATGTCTTAGTTTGTATTCCCTATGGAGTGAACTCACACTTACAGGGTCTGCAGGTCCCACAAAGGCACGGAATTTGCTTGGAGTGTCTGCATCAGACCCTGCAATTTCCATTGCCACGCTCGCTCCCGAAACCAACTGGTTCACCATTCCCTGCAATAATTGTATTGCATTCGATAAGTGTAAACTTTGAAGCCAGCTGCTCTACTACACTTTATTTGGCCTTATTTTTGACTTTAAAATCTTACATTAACAAAAACTAACTGCAATTTGACACACTTCCAGTATTCAATAGCTCAAAGGTTCTGGTTCAGTTTCTTATCATCAGAGTTATGCCACTGTAACTGCTTTCACTGGGGCTCAAGATGCAGTTGCTGGGCAAATAAATGATTAGTTTCTTACTTAACACAGTCCATATGAGATGGATAAATCAGGTGTGCTAATTGGATTGGTCATATCTTACGTGGTAACTGTCTTCTAAAAGAAGTTACTGAAGGAAAGACAGAGGGGCAGATAGAAGTGACCAGAAGACGAGGAAGAAGACATAAGAAGATGCTGGATGACCTTGGGGACAGAAGAGGATATTTTCATTTGAAGGAGAAAGCTCTAGATGGCATCAAGTGGAGGAACTGTTTTGGAAGAGACTGTGGACCTGTCATCTTGACAGATTACAGATGAATGAAATCAGGTGTGAGTACAGGAAAAGTTCACTGTTCAAGAACTGAACAGTATGAATATTTTTGACAACAGTATAATATTTGAATTAGTCAATGATATGAATTCATATCGCTATGAAACTGGGGCAAGTGATGAAACTGTTGAAGATTTTGAATGTTCATCCACCTGCACCAGCAATGAAGATAGCCCCCATCCCCATCAGACCAAAACAGCAGAAAATGCAGGTTGTGGGGGTCTGCAGAATTGGCCATCACAATCAGCAGACCCCAAACCCCTTGGCTTTATATGTAAGGATACATCAATGATATTATTAATCAGAACAAACGGGGTCCCATGTGAGGCCTTCCAATTGTTGTAATATCTGTGTGACCACTCACATCAATGATTGAGACACCTTCATTTCATGAAATATGGTGTTGTGAAATGAGGAAGACGGGTACCAAAGCTACCGGCAGACATATTGAGTATACTGTAGGGTGTATACCCATTACTACGTAATGACGACAAAACAGACAATGAAACAATGCTTGCTACTAGGCAACAATAAGTGAAGTACAACAGTGAGGAACAGTGTTTTCTGAGCAGTCTATGCCCAGATTGAATTATTACTGCATAACATAGTCACTGGGACGTTTTTAGTTCCATGATGAAAATCTGAACTCCAGCCACTGATCATTAATACAAATAAGAACTCAATTTCTATTAGTATAAATTAAAACCGTTATTAAACTGTAGATGACAAAAAAAAATATCATCTGAGACCTGGGTGTATTTTTTAACGGTTTCTTTTAACACTGCTGTCAGTAGCTAGTCTCAAATAGTAGAATGATGCAAAACAATGAACTGGAATAGAGGTGACAGCAAGTGGGCTGATTGGAAGTACTATCCCAGTGTTCATGTGGACTGAGGAAAACCAAAAAAAGAAAAAACCCTGGTCAGGATAAAGGAATACCACTTCAGCCAAATCACTTGGTAACACTGAGGTGCAGTATAGTGGTATATAACAAATTCTAATACCTTAGGCATGCACGCACATACACAAACATATATTTCACTTGTTCATTTATGTCATTACATCTATAGCTCTGAAAATTTAATGTCCCTAGATTCAAAGGTTACTTCAAAATTCTGTGTCAGATGAGAGGGTTATTATGTAAAGGAAGCACTCATGTCTCCTCTCAATGTTCTACACAGTTCTTCATCAGGTACCACAGAGAAAAATTATGAAAAACCTCAATTCAGCGTTCTTCATGCATCAGTTGCAATGCAAGTCAGGCACCATTAACCATTACCACTCACTGAGTACTCTGCCAAGACTCCCTTGTAAACTTCATAGAATTCTTGAGCATTCGGATGCTCCATGTAGAACATCTGCATTGCTGTTATCTTGAAGCCATTTTCCTGTATTTCTGATACTATATCTCCTAACAGACCTGAACACACAAAGCTTCATTTTAGAAACAAAACAAATACAAAATTCCTAGCAATTATTATCTTATTTTACTGCTTTTGGATGATGGCAGGGTCAGAAATGTGTAGTCATAATTTGTAAAAACTTTGCTAAATCACAAGTGTTATTAATGATTAAATCCAGTCCTACAGTGGAGACAATGCTTTAAAAAATACATATAATGTTACAGACGTTTATCAGTAGCACTGGTAATTCAGTTTCAGTCTAGCTGTATCTACTGAACCATGAAACCAGAGATGAGTAGCTCTAACATCCCCACCAAAATGCTTTCAACCACATGCAGCGCTGGACCATACAAATATGAGGTCCGTTTGCTGACAGCTGCCTCCTCCTGAAGATAGAGACCATTAATTTCTCAAAACACTGACATCATCCAAACGCAGAAACACAAGGTTTAATCAATTATCCTGAATTAGCAGTGACCAACCTTCCTGAACAGCATGTGGTTTGATGATGCAGCAGGTGGTATTCTTGAACGTGGCTGTGGACCGCGGGGACTCATATTGGGCAATCCGACTCATTGGAAAGAAAATGTTCAGTTCCTAGCAAGAAAATACATAATTCAGTATCATTACAGCACTGAGGTAAAGCGCATTCACCAATTACTAACTTTAATTATATAAAGAGAATTATGTGATTTACCAACCAAAATTTTCAAACATTTATTGTTTCCACCCATATGTGCTATTAGGTTCTTTCTGTTCATCCTCTTTGATTTATCATCCTAACAGGATAGACAAAGAGTACAAAATTGTGGAAGCAACTCATTTTGAAATTTTATGTCATGTTACTTCATTTCTCAGTGCAGTTCCCTTCAGCACTCTGGTAATATGTGTTCTAGGAAACCAAGTTTTGAACCCACATGAATGGTGTACATACCCTTTCAGCAGATATACATGAATCGGAACCATGAGCAGCGTTGAGTGATTTGTCTTTACCAAAGCGAGCTCGTATACTGCCTGGTGCATCTTTACGTGCTTGTTCAGAATCAGTGGGCCCCAGTAGTTCACGCCATTTTGCCACTCCATTCTCTGCAAGGAGCTCCATTGCAATAACTGGTCCTGATGTCATGTATTCTACCAAGAAGCTGAAACAAAGTATCACTTACAAAGCTTCAAATTCAGGAGGAGACACTTAGCAGAAAGAAAAACAAAACTTACAGTTCTCAGTGAAAAGAAATGTTAAGAAAGCCTGTCTCTCAGTCATCAATAGTTTGATTCAAGAGCTAGTGTAAAGCAGATACAATATCTTTTGAAGACTTCAATGCTTCTAACAAAATTCCCTCATCAGTTTCCAGTTTCCATAAGTGTCAAAAGATGGGAGAATAATTCCTTTTTGCTTATTTCATCGAAGAGCAATGAAGTTTAGGGTTGAAGTAGCTGATGCACCTGATTATGTCTCATTTGAAGCAAGGTAAATGTTAAAACTTGGTCCACCATCTATATGTTGGCAATTTATTTGTTTATTTAATGCCACTCTATCAAATTCAGTGGTTATAAAGCAGACCTGTGCACATTTGAGACTCAACGTGAATTAAGGAGAACTACAACAATTACCTTCTTTACATAGCATACAAATTTAGAATATAACTGTTTAATAATAATTATAAGAACAATAATAGTTACAGAACAGCAACTGTGTGTTTCAACAATTAATATGAGAAAGAGCAAATCATGGAGATCGTTTTATGTTTTGTGCAAGTTATCAGTTCAGTATGCAACTGTAAATTTGTACACCATTTTTTAAGTTTTATTTTACTAGGAAGATTACACAAGAAACTTACAGCAGAAACTCGCTTACAAATTGGCTCATATTTTGCCTGTACAAGTTGTATGGTAAACTACATACAACTTGTGTTTTACAAGTATTTAATTCTTTGCCTTTTTCATGAATGAAGTCTACTGAAAGATCAATAATTTTATAACCAGAATGTTGTCGTCTTTCCTGATATGGCCAGTCACTTTCTCATAAGATGGCCTGGTGCAAGAAATACAAGTATAGTCGGCACTTGAATGTATAAGGGGTAGGCCTTCTTGGCCCTTGCACCGCAACCTACAGTGTTAGCACTTAGTTCAATTGTTTGACACTACTCTTCATTTATGTGCTGGACAAGAGACAGGGCGTAAAAAAAAAAAGGTGACAAACGTGACTCAGTCATAATTACATTACTGTTCAATTATCCGCAGACTAATTACAATAAAATAAAGGGACTGCCTTTAATTAGCAAAAGAGCCAAAATTATTGCATGCATCCATTAGTTAATTAGTTTGTTAGTCTCGGACTAGCTGCAATACTAGAACACAAAAAGAAAATCCATTATTCTGAAAACCACATACAATAGCATTCATGTTAGTACTCATACGCAGTGTGCACAAAAACAAAATCATGACTTACAAACTGGAAAAGATGTAGAAAGTGACAGTTGGCCTCTTTTATAGTATTAAAGTAATCAAGATGAGAAAGCATGAAAATGCATTCATTTCACTGGGTATGCCGGTATAACTGCCATATTCAAAACCTTGGCCCTTGGATAGGACTGCAGACTATCCTGACCGAGGTTTGTGTTCATCAGATTCTCCAAGCAAATGCCGGAGCAGTACCTTCAGATAGGTCATAACTGCCTCTTTTCAATTTCTTCACTATAATCGATCCATATCAGTCATACAACAAGATTATTTATGGAGTGAGCCAGAACATGTCTTCTCTCTTATGTGTCATCATTGCATCACATTGCACCTAGACAAATCAGTAATGATGATAAGAGGATATGGATGCTCTCTTGTGGTATTCATGTGTAACTCAGTCCTGTGCTAGAATCTCTTTGTGCAGGATAAGTCTGCAGTACAGCATCTGGTGTTCTTATATGAAGCTTCTGTGAGGTCTTTTTTTTTCTGTGGCACTACAGCCCCAATTTGGGCCTAGGCCTACCTCCATGAAACTCTCAGTTTCATTTCAGTTTATTAGATCTTACACATTCGGTAGGACTACTTGGGCGAGTGATCAGCTCATTGCAAGGCCTCTACCTGTAGACAAACACAGAAAAACGCACACAAACATCCATGGCCTGAGTGGGATTCAAACCCACGATCCCGGCTTCCGAGCGAGCGAAGACAGTGCATGCCTTAGACCGCTCAGCTACCATGAGCGGCTCTGTGAGGTCTACATTATTGAAATAGGTTGTGAAGATGTAAACTGGGCTGTATTACTTCATTATCATGCCTAATGATAAATTTTAGTTTTGTCTGACAAAGAAACTTTGGTTTCTATTACCGCAAGGTGGGTAGTTCTTCAACATTTCAACCAAAATATATCCAACCTCACAAATGCAAGTCTGCCACCCACAAAAATTTCAAGACTTACAAACTAAGTCTCATTTCATTGTGTCCAGATTCCTGATTATGGATCTCAGATGCACAAAATCAGGTTCTATACTCACGGAAGGAATGGTTTACCCTTGTGCTCTGCATAGAATTCCAGAGCATGTTCCTTTGTCATTTGTACCATTTTCAACTTTGTAACTTTAAATCCATTTTCTATGATCAGCTTTAATATTTGGCCCATTTTTTCCACAGCATCAGGTTTTAGCATTGCAAATGTCCTGTTATAACCAAAAGAGAAACTATCTTTAACATAACTGAAAGATCACATGCATACAAAACTTGAATCACAAGTGTTATGCAGTGGTGTATATCTCAACGGCTGACACTATTGTTAAGATGTGGTCTGTTTTCCTATCTCAATGGCTATCACTTGCTGTATGGCTTGGGGTGGCAGTCTAGGTTGCATCAACCACCCTGGAAACCTCTACCCATTTAAAGCAGCAGTATGGACTGGGGATCCTTCAAGGAAGGGGTTCAGGATCATGGTCAAATCTTATCTCCTCATATTGGTAGCATTTCTAATTCTTCGGTGGTCGGGAATCTAGGGTATAACCTTGTAACATGGGGGGGGTCCTGCTATTTCCAACATTTATTTACACTGCCTAGATACTCATTTGGGGTTGAGCTAAGTTACATAATTCCATATTTATCTAGCCTCAGGCCAGTACCCTACAAGCATCTCTCTGATCATCAGCAATACAACATGGATTCACTTACTTTGGCTGCAGAAGAGTGCAACAACAAAGAAGTGATACAGTCTGTGTCCCATGGTCCCCTTTATGAAGTTTTCTGTCTGCAGCATGGTAGTTACAGCATTGGTAGCCTATCAGACACAGTCTACCCTACCAACTGGTTTAATGTTTTGATATGAGACTGCCCACAGTCACCGACTTAAGGATTATATAATGGAAGACTGCCACGAGTCAGCATTTCTTCATACATTCAATAAACAGTATGGGTTTACCACAACTGTCGCAACTGCTGGTGCAGCATTTAAGAGTGAGACTTGCCACAGATTGGGAAAGCCATGTTTGTTTATCAACTTTCTTGGTTGCCACAGTTCAATGGGGCACCTTAGAGACCAGGAGCTTCAAATCTGTCATTAGACCATAACAGCATAACACCAGGAGACTGATATTTAAAGAAAGTGAGATAACTGCATACATGAAATCTCGAGACCTTGGCTTCATAATCTGAAGTGTATTTATATTCACTACTGTTATGCTCTATAACCCTTTCATGTTAGTGTCGGACAAAACAGCTGTTTGCACTGTGTCATGCTGCAAATAAACTGCCACTTGTTGATATGCATTCTGTTACCATGAAAAATTTCTAAGAAAGAAAAAGATAAACATAAAGGCAGCAATATAAAGAGAAATACCCCAGTTATGCACTCATATGCATACAATATGGCCCCTAGAATGGGAATGCTATGGAGCCATGACATATTCTTGGTTTAACGATGAAAGCGTTAACATGTCCAACAACTGCAATCATAAAAACTGTCTGAATAAGTATGAAAGAAATAAATTCCACTGAAAATACCACATGAAAATGAAAATACTTATATGACTAGAAAGGTGTATGCCATCATTGGAATACACACATTTTCCTTATACATTTGCAATTTTGTCTCTGTGTTCTTTTAGTTCTGATAAAATCTACTGTTTGAAATCTAACCAACCGTAGAGATATTATACAATACAGGGTGATAAATTATTTTTCAGCGCACTGAAAATATTTAAAAGAAAGGATAAGGCTCTTTACGAGATCTACATTTTACTGTGCGAGGTACTTTTTTTTATTGCTAGTGGGGTGGGACTAAATCCCTTGTACTGCGGCCACTTCTGGCCTATTGTACCAGTGCCAGATGATAGGTGAGGGTGATTGTGGAGCAATTGGTGGAATGAAGATTGGCAGGGGAAACCGAAGTACTCGGAGAAAACTTTTCAAATGATAAGCCACTTATGATAAATATGGTAAGTTCAGCTGTAGTTTCATGTAGAGGATATAATTGACAAATATCTGCCAAACTGAAATTCTACTGACAATGTTGGGTACAGAGAGCCACGCCAAATTTGTCACATTATCTGTTTGATAATTTTTTTATTAAAAAAGCAGCCAGATGAATATAAAACATGTTCACCCATTATGCATTCATTATATGCATGTCATGCAAAGTATGCACAAAAACTAAGTATTCCAGTATTGCAGTTTATATTGCATCCATTAGTCTCCCTTCAACACTTACCACCAAATGTACGGTAAGAGATATGTTTCTGTACTGACACCCTAACTTTGTTAATGTTTAATTAATATCTTTAAATATTGTTCAACAACTTTTTGTAATTCTGTATTTAAGCATCCCGTTGCAAGCCAGTCTGTCAATAATGCAACAGATTGTTCCTTTTTCTTCCACTTACACTTTTAACACAACACTTTTCGGCACTAGATGGCCATCTTCATGTGTCTTAATATATTAAAACTGCTACACTGCATTAATATGCGCCAAAATCACACGCATCAGAGACACAAGGAGTATAAGTACGCAGCTCAACACACACTAGAACAGTAAAAATACAGTGGGCCACAAACACATACAAGACAACATTAAAGGTAGGACGAACTAACAAAAGTTTTTACAAAACATAATAGGATTGCTGAAATAATACAATATACCCATAATATATTTGCAGAACCCTCTTCTCGAGAATGACAAGGTGATACACATTCGGCCCGTCAAAAGAAATAATAAAAGGGATGACACGAACCAGCTTGGTTTATGAACTCCAATAGAATCTTATCAAACTAACTATAAATATTTTAATGTATTGGAACTGCCACTGTAGTTGTAAAGACTTTAGATTTTACACCCAAGTGTGTATTATTAATATTGTATGTATATATTTTAACCTTTAGAACAGACACGTCCGACGTGTCGATCATGGGACAATTTTTGGTTGATCTCATAGGCCTATAAGGAAATTATTCATGAAAAGCATGTAAATTCACTTGTAATATAATATGATTATATTCAGATTTTGAAGGGAAAATACATATTAGTCATTATTATTTTTTTGTTCTTATGTACCTTACGTGAAAATTTCTTTACACCTGTGTTAAGTGAACTGTGGGGAAGTGATGGGTACAGTTTCATCCTACAAAAGCAAATTCGAGCTAATGATGACTGACCTTACAAACAATATTTTTGATCACTTTCCTAATATGCAATACCATCTGGAAAAATATCCTAATTTTTTTTTTTTCAGACAGAAGTACGTGACCAAAATCTGTTCTGTTATCCAAGATTTTGGAAACAGATTCTGTGACTTCCAAAAAATTAGAACAGTTGTAGAGTACTTGTCATTCCTGTTCAAATCAGATTTAAACATCAGAGAAACTGCAGCTACTATCTGTGAAAATAGCACATTGAGGAAGGCATCTCTTGAAAATGAGATATTAACCCTTAAAAATTATATTTTTCTCAAGACTCGTTTTGGAAGTTAGTGCCTAGACAGAAATTTCCCAACTTAGGAAGATGCAGTGAAATCGTACACTCCTGTTTCGGTTCAATTTATTTGCATGAATCTGCGTTTTCCTACCTAAAATTGACAAAGAGTAAACAATGTTCCAAGATGACAGATGAACATCTCCAGGACTGCCTGAAACTGGCCCTCACCCAGTACGCACCTGACTTCAAACAGCTGGTGGATGAAATGCAGGCCCAGATGTCTCACTAACGAACAAGGTAAGTCTGTACTTTAAATGCATTGTCACGTGTTTTGTGTGTCACGCGACAAATAACTATACGTGGGTCTCGGACTCAGCGAATCTTTATTGGACACTCACACTTAAACACTTTACAACCATTAGCACTGGCACTATTACAATCACTGCTTACACAATATCTCGCCCAATACTTCTGTAGCTCCAGCTATCTTCAGTGGAGGCTTCCTGAAGACTGATTTCTTCGGCAGTTAATACCAGACTGACTTCTGTATCCTTCGGCATCTATTCCAAGACTGTCTTCTTCAGTGGTTATTTCCAGACTAACTTCTTCAGTGACTAATTCCAGACTGAGTTCTTCTTGTCGAAGCTGGGCTATTTATACCTTGGCGGTTGCTATACAATGAGCCTTTGTTATAACCGTGGAAACTCAAATCTATGCAATGCTCACTGTTAGAATTACAGTATCGCTATTGTTGCTTCCTATGCAACGGTCTTGTTCTAGCGTTTCCATTGAAGTAACCCTTCGGAATTCCAAACATGTGACAGTATGTTGCTATTACAACAAACATCATATGTTGTGTTATTTTTACCAATATTTTTGCTTAAAGCGAGGTACGGCGATAGGAGGGGGTGGTAGATCACTGGCAGTTTTGACACTAAAAAGTTGATCACAACCTGTCTGAAGTTGGACATGCCTGTTTCAGAACATGTACTGTAATAGTGGCTTCTAACTGTATGGATGTAAAGGTGTCTCTCTGAAGACTGAAACATGTAAGGGCATGAATAATTGAAATAAGAAAAAGAAAAAAATTTAGCCAGTCACACTGGATGGAGCTGTTCAACTTTTTCATAAAATAAATAAAAGTGACCTTCCATACGCGGAACATAGTACAGAACATATTAAGGCCACAGCCACAAATAGATAAATATAGTAGCAGTTTTAATATATTAAGATACCTGAAGACGGCCATCTAGGGCCAAAACATGTTGTGTTAAAAGTGTAAGTGGAAGAAAAATGTACAATTTGTTGCATTATTGATGGACTGTGTTATATATAGATGTTTTATTATTCAACCAAACTGTTATTTGTGACTGTCAACACATGAACCAGAACAAATCAAAGCTTTAAACTTAATTTTAGCAGTGGGACCTTCTCTACACCTGATATAACAGTTATGCCATGTGCCTTGGATGGAACTTTCTCTGCATCAGATGTCTCCTGTGCATGATCCTTGTTTGAAAAACATGGTGAGGTTGGCATTAACATAGGAGAGGGTTCAAGAGAAGCACTCAATTCCCCAAATCCCAACATTTTGAATATACTATAGATGAATTCAGTGCTGTGAAAACACGGTGTAAGGAAGCTAGGTTATTTATGTGTCAGAGGTTGTTCACAAATTTTAATAGAATATTTATATAATTTTTTAGGGTTTCAGTCTGTGGCTGCATAGTTTTCAATCGTGAAGAGAGGCCTTCCATCCCGACAGTTTTAATATGATCTTGGAAGAGGCTCTGATAACTTCACTGGTCAACTTCACAGTCACCTATGTCATATGAGGGACATATATCAAACATTGTCTTACCTCTGCATAACAATCCCCAAGTGCACATGTGTATACTCATCAGCAAAGCCAGTAATTTTCATCTGCCTCGATAAGATGTTCACTGATGCATCAATGTGCAGGTCACCAAGAGTAACACTGTCACATTTTGTACGTCTGAGGAACATCCGTCGGTATTTCGTGTCATACTGTAACCATTATTACTGATGTAATTTATATACATGCTACTGACACCATAGTTTGTTTCATCCAAGAATTTTTTTATGTTGATAACAATTTGGCATACATAAGCCCAAGCTTGATTCATTATGGAGTTTAGGTCGCGCCATAGCTCAAGCGGTTAGTCACTGGGTTCCCATCGTGGCAGCCCGGGTGTGGTCAAGTGAGATTTGTGATGGACAAAGTGGCGCTGAGGCAGGTTTTCTCAGAGTATTTCGGTTTCCCCTGCCAATCTTCATTCCACCAATTGCTCCACAATCACCCTCACCTATCATCTGGGGCTGGTACAATAGGCCAGAAGTGGCCGCAGTACAAGGGACTTAGTCCCACCCCACTAGCAATAAAAAGTGGTCAGCTTCACAATGAGTTGTATTCCACAGAAAGGATTCCCCACTATCAATAAGCAAACAGCTGGCTGGATATAGCCTCAAAAAGAAGAAGTTTATTGACACAGAATGAAAACATATGTAAAAGAAAATGGTTTTAATTAATCCAGTTGCAGCAGGTGATGGGTTGAGGTGGATTTCATTCCCTATATGGCTCTTATTTTAATCCTCTACTATGCAATTTAAATTCACTTGTCTGATACTATCAGATCAGTCGATTCAAAATGCCCACTGTACTCCATATTTTAATATGTTAACTGTAATATGGGTCACTTAACATTATTCAACTGCACTGTGAGGCACTACAAAGGGTTAAAAAGGTGGAGCTATCCCTGTAAGAAACCAAGGAGGCCCACAGGGTTGTGAGACATCAAGGCTCTCACATATTCTAGGTAACTGGCTCACAGATGGCAGTGGGGTTGTAGCTTTATGCGTTGGCCACCCTTTACCCCCAGGAAGATTCCCGGTACTCGTTTCTGTTATAGTCTGAGTCGACCCCAGGGATCATAGTGTGGCTGGAAGGATTAGGTCAATAAAAAATCCAGTGACCTCACTGGGAATCAAATCTGAAACTTTCCAGCTTGTAGCATAATGCCTAAACCAACTATGCTACTGTGACTACAAAGGGTTAAGTATATTTAATCCTGTTAATAGTATGCAGTGGTTCATCACTGCTGCATTGAGATGGATATGAAAAGATTGGGAAAAGAGGTGGGAGGATGTGGGTATGAAATTAACTTGGACAGACAGGCAAAACACATACCAAAAAAAAACTCTCAAGTCAGAACAGCTACTCACTGCCTGAAATTGAACCCATGACCTACTGAATACATGTCATATGTATGGGTCAATTTGAAATCATCAGTTACTTGACATATTACGAAAAGATATTTCCTTCCCACAGGAAGTTTGTGTTTGAAGACATATTTCCGTCTCGTTTACTGTACACTTTACGTGCACCTTACAGAACAGAAAGTTTACTTACAAGTTCAATTGTTCCATCCACTTTATAATAGAATAAAATAAATGTTCGTATGATAGAAGCTTCTGTATCATGCCATTCAACATTGAAGCTGTACCGAGAGTTATCAATGTCACTCTGGAAAAATAAATGCAGTGCTTTATGACAACTATACAAGTAATTCACGTGAAATAAAACCTAAAACCCACATTGAAAGCCAGTACATGCAGCAGGGGAACCATAGGAGACTTAGTTGAGACTTTGTAAAGTCCATAGTTATGCACAGGATGACTATGAATAATGAAAAATATGATTTTTTAAATTTAATTTAGAGGAAAAGGGGAGGGGGCAGGGAAACAGTGACAAAACAAACATTTATGCGAATGTTAATTTATAACTTCCATTCCTATATCTTTCATACAAGCTGCCCACTCCATTTGCAAATGAAATCCTATCATTCTGTACTGTTCTGAAGAAGTGAATAAGTATGTAGGATTTCTCAAAGTTCATGTTCTAAGATTTTATAAGTTGAAGTAACCATGAAATTAACTTTGTTCTTTATACATCTCTTACGTAAACGAAATTATGAGAAACCATCTGCAGAATACTATTATTCCTAATCTCTTGTTTCTGCCTAGTCAACCTTTCTGGCCTCCAGGACAGCATTTACTACCACGATCATAAGACAACAGTTGTGGCTGGCTGAGGCAACCAACAGATTAACAAGAACTCTGAACTTCAATGGGGACCAAAATTAAATCCTATGATTAAAACTCAGCCATACACAATATTAAGTATAAAGCAAAAATCTTTAAACTGAAACTTAAGTCACAGGTATTTGAAAATGAGATAGGAGAGGTGAACACCAGAGTGGAGCAAACATATGCCATCTTCATAATTTTACATACCTCATTGACTTTGTTTACTTACTGCTGATAAGAATTTTCTACAGGGGCATTAAATTTACTATTTCAGTAAATACATAATCTCACTGACTTATATCATGTATTCAGTATTCCTCTGAATGAAGCTTTACTCATTTACTTCAACCTCATTTGTTTACTTACTGAATGTTATACATGTATTCAGCCACTGTCCATATGATATAATAGCTAAATCCTGAATTAATATTATAGGCCTATATAGTTCTATCACATTACCTTTCAGTATGTTTTTTATACTACCTGATGATGACCCGTGTAGTTCAAACATGTAATGGTTTCCAATAAAAACATCACTCATCACTGAAGCTGCATCAAGAATTAAGTATCTCATGTATTAATTTTGTAATCACTAAAACATGCGGGTAAAGAATTTGAACGAAAAAGTTAATACAATGTTCGCATTCTTACATTTATGTCTATTATGTTTTCTAAAGAGAGTACCAATGACACTGGATGTACAATGCACAGAAGAACAAGATGGCACAAAACACATACAAAAAGCGTGAAGCACACAGCTTCTTTCCAAATTAATTTTGGTTAAATTACAAGTGCATTACCTTATATCATGGATAAGCAACATTATAGTCCAACACTCAGTTTGTTGAGAGATGCATTCTAAAATCAATTATACACAGGATAGTGTCAAATGGAAAGATGCATGAGAATGAATAGTGGAGAGTAACGAAGAAAGAAGTAATCATGGCTTATTCAGAAAATAATATTGTTCCATTTGTCCACATGAAGAGAAAACCACCACCCTAAAAAAACCGTCAGTCTGCTACCTTCCTAACCAAGATTGACACAAAGAAACAGGAATGCTGGATATCTTATATAAACACAGTACGTGAGCTTGTGCCAGTTATGAGTGCTTATATTTGATTGACACTTTCTCAATCATATCAACTGTAATACCACACCACCCGTGAAAATACGAATATCAAGAAGAGAATGTGGCTTATAATTCTTACTATGGCCAGGGCACCAAAATTATTCTTCTGATTTTAACATTAATCAATAATGCAATTTCTGGTATTGGAATAGGGGGCTGAATACCCAGATCATGTGACATGAATCTGGAACTCCCAAAGTCCTCATTCTTCACCAGGTTTAATTGATAAATTACAAGCATTCCATGGGTTCTGATGCTTGAATGTTCAACAAGTGTACAAATAACAAAATAAGAAAGTCATTGTAGAACAAACACAATACACAGAACATTCAACTTTAATATGATTTGATCTCATTTATTTAAACTTAGGTCATGTTACGTAGGTCATTTCAGAAATAATGCACACAATTTTTTGTTTACGTCCATGTTTATTTTTTTTAATATCTCTTTACAGTCCTTCAATATAGTCCCCCCTGCTTCTCAATGACCGAGTCCCAACGTGTGGGAAGCTTTACTATTCCATCCAGGCCACCATCTTTGTTTATCTGTCGAATGGCTCCGATAGCTGCAGCAGAAAGCTCTTCCAGAGAGGGAAAAACGTACATTAACTTAAATGGGACCAAAAACATATTCTGCACTTTCACACACAAACAAAGGCTCAAGTAATTTAATCATTTTAACCATGTAACATTTATGGACCTGAAATGATAACAAATCAGAACTGTTTTGCTGTTTAGATAACACTAAGAAATCTTAATAATAAAAACAAGTATGTGGAACACTTTCCAGCCATCCAAAGCACAAAAATAGACACAACATTCCAAAATAAATACAAATTAAAGTTGTCTAACCTGATTCAACAAGAGTGATAAACAAACCACTACGAAGAGGTGCTGCGTGCGATTGCTCTGTGTGAGGAAAAATAAATGAAACTGAAACTTTTGGTACAGAAAGCTCAGCAAAATTCTAGTCTCAGGAGGCGCTATGGGAGGAATCCCCGCACACCTTCCCAGTCAATGGCTTATTTTTGAAAACATAACTCTAAACCTAACCTTAGGTTTACATTATCTAGGACAAAGGATAATCCTAACATTAAGAGTGTGGAATGGCCACGGGCCAGTATCTCCTGACAACCTCCATATACTAGAATTTAACTGAAAGGTTCAGTAACAAATCTTAAAATTATGAGAGTACCACAGCTGCTGACAGTAACTCACCATTGTGAAAAAATGTTGCAGTAAATAAAGTAATAGGCATTTATTCAAAAACTGCACTCAGAAGAATTGAGAGTTCCTCTCCTTATTTACATTTACAAACTTTCTGATGTAGATGGGCGGTATATCGTGAATGTTATAGTTGGGACCCTGAAACAAGATCAACCTGGAGAAATATTTCTTCTTGATTATGAAGTTCTGGAAAGAGCAAATCACTCGACTATAGCTGTCCTATTTGACAATTCCATGAACTTCTTATGGCCAAATGGAATACAGTGAAATAATGTCCTTCTCCTAGTAACAGATGCTGCTCCATATATGAAGAAGGCTGCCAAAGGACTTAAAATGCTCTACTCAAAAATGATCCATATTACTTGTCTCGCTGATGCACTGCATAGAGTGGCTGAAGAAGTTAAGAGGAAATTTTCCAGATGTAGATAGGCTAATTCCAAACGGAGAGAAATATTCATCAAGGCCCCTCTTCGAGTACAGACGGTTCCAGGATCGTATCCCGCTGTAGGCGCGCCTCGCAGGGTGTGAGAACAATGTACAAACTGGTCATAACCGCAATTAAATAATTTTAGTGAGGGAAGTAGGGTTACATCTGACGACAACAACTTGACACTGTGAAAAGAATATTGCAGTAAATGATGATATATATTTAAGTAAAACTCCACTTGAAGCAATCGGGACATCATAACATATTTAGATGTACAGTAATATTACTTCACAAATAAAGAAGTTTCTCGTTATGTAATTGTTTCTGACGCTGTGTGGCTTCCTCAAGAATAACAATTTGTACATGAAATATATGCTATACTATTAAAGAAAGTTTGATGCCAATTAGCTATGTGTAAATAACGACCGTAAAATGTACTCTTGCTCATTTCCTTTTTCCTTTTAAGCTTTGTACGTGTCCAACCGGAATGGTTGGCTTTGCCATTAATGTTTGATACCTGCGTCCAAGTGTCTTTTAGGTCATGATTTGTGTCCCGTATGAGGCTTGAACGTTTGTAAGGTTTGTAAGCGTTTCTCAATACGCTCAATACCACCAACCCCGCCAATCATCATACATATATCGATTATCCACCAGAATTCCTGAGAGGCAATTTCTGACTGAATAATCCCAAGTAATCCAATAATGACGGAGTTATAAACTGTGACAAGTTATTTTTAAAAGCCTTTATCGGTCTCGTTGAGGAATGTTATTTTTCCTCCATACACAATTACAGGACCATTCAGTTGTGTTAAAACACGCAATCGATAGTTTTACTAAAATTGTGCAAACAAGTTGAGTTACGGTTACAAAGTATCGATTACCTTCACAGTAAACATTCAGGCAGCATGAATGCACAGTCATAATCGTCATAATCGCCATAATCAACTAAACAAAAATATAAGTAGCTAGTTATCTTCACTGTGTACGTATCTTCTGATCACGAGCTGCAGTTTCAGTTAAAGAATACGTTTATCTTGAACGTTTTTGTAACAAATTTGAAGTCAACGTGATAGATCCAAGTTGAAATATGATACTTAACGCTGCTTACGCTTCACCTGCACTCTTGTGGTAGAGACTGAAAATATAAATTTCTGAAATGTTACGGTTTGGTCTTTTGGTATGGTTGAAGATGGACTTGTTTGACCACATATTTATAGGCAAAATTGTTATTTTGGTGCCTTGTGGGTGATGAATACTTGCAGGAATGTTTGTAGTGACATATGTGGAATTTACCAAACTTAGCAAAGAAATTGGAGAGAGTATAGATATAAATGAAACAACATGAATCCCATGACGTAAGTATGGTTGGTAAAAACGTGACATAGTTGCATAGTTGGTTCAGGGTGGGGGTTTATACTGATATCACTTCCACTTTATTCCCAGCAATGTGAAGAATATTAAGAAGTTAAGTGAACTTGAATTGAAACGGAGTCTGAAGACATCATGGCATGACCAGTATAAAGATAGCGCCTGGATTTTCATCGGAGGTTTACCATATAATTTAACAGAAGGCGACGTTATTTGCGTCTTCTCACAGTAAGTACAATTTTAAAAAGAGTATTCGCTATGAACTGGTGCCCCAGTGGACTTTGAATATAAGCGTTTCCATATGGCAATTTCCATATGGCAACGCAAAAATAGTAGCTCATTATTGAGGCTGCTGTTTGGTCTGTGGTTGCTGCAAGTTGTGGCTTGTGGTATGTGAATCGACTTTGTGGAATAATTGAAGAGTGTCTGCAGCTCCTCCTCCATCCACTTATGTCTCTCTAGTATCACCCTTCTGTTATGCTGTAGTCAAAGAGAAGCTAGATTATTATGAATTGAAGCAACATAAGCTGTGGTTTGATGAAGGATGTTCAGAACTTTTGGATCAATGGAAATAAGCTAGGCTGCAGTGGTTACAGGATCTAAATCAAATAAAGGAGATAAGATATGAAGCTAGAAGACATTCAGGAAAAAAAAATGTAAATGTGTTAAAATCAAAGTTAACAAGCTTCAAACAATAAGAACAAGAACATAGGAGACATATGCAGAGGCACAAATGACTTTAAGGAGGATTGTTGATTTAGAATTAACTTGGTAAAGGATAAAAAGGGTGATCTGCTTGTAGATTCCTACATCATCTTGAAGAGATGGGAGAACTGCTTCTCTCAACTGTTCATTGTGTATGGGGTTAATGGTGTTAGGCGTTACAACTGGAATTACAACTGAGCCATTAATAATTGAGCCTGAGATTGCTACTGAAAATTTCAAAAGGTATAAGTTACCAGGTGTTGATCTGATGTTGGCAGAATCAATTCAAACAGAGAGTGAAACATGACATTCTGAGGTTCATATACTCATTAATTATATTGGAAAAGGAAGACTTGCTTCAGCAGTATGAGAAGACATTGTGCCTATTTACAAGAAGGGTGATAAAAAAGTCAGTATAGGTAAACATTTGTCTGAAAAATTTCCTATCCAGAATGGTCTAAAACAAGGAGATGGTTTATTGCCACTCCTTTTCAACTTTGCTTTAGAATATGCCATTAGGAAGGCCCAGGAAAACCAGGTGGGACTTAAATTAAACAGGAGACATCAAGTGTTGGCCTATGCCGATGATGTGAATCTGCTGGGTGATAATGTAGATACCATAAAGAAAATCACACAGACTTTAAATGGCGCAAATAAGGAGGTTGGTCTAGAAGTAAACACTGAGAAAACTAAGTATATATTGTTGTCTCATCAGTAAAATGCATCGCGAAACATGACGTAAGAATAGGAAACAGATGATTTGAAAATGTGGCACAGTTCAGATATTTAGGAAAAACAGTAACAGATCAGAACCTGGTTCAGGAGGAAATTAAGAGGTGATTGAACTCAGCTAATGCTTGCTACCATTGAGTCCGGAACCTTTTGTCTTCTCATCTGCTGTCCAAAAACATAAAAATTAGAATATATAAAACTAGGTGTAAAACTTGGTCTCTTACATGAAGGGAGGAACATAGACTGAGGGCATTTGAGAACAGGGTGTTGAGGAGAATATTTGGACTGAAGAGAGATGAAGTGACAGGAGGTTGGAGAAAACTGCATAATGAGGAGCTTCATAACTTGTACTCTTCTCCAAGTATAATTAGAATGATCAAGTCATGGAGGATGAGGTGGGCAGGGCATGTAGCACAAATGGGGGAGACAAGTGGGAAAGCCAGAAGGAAAGAGACCACTGTGAAGACCAAGGCATATGTGGGTGGACAATATTAAAATGGATCTTAGGGAGATAGGATGGGATTGATCTGGCCCTGGATATGGACCAGTGGAGGGCTTTTGTGAACACAATAATGAACCTTCGGGTTTCATAAGATGCTGGGAAATTCTTGAATAGCTGCAGAATTGGCGGCTCCTCCAGAAGGGCTGAGCTCCTTGAGTGAGTAAGTGTATCAGTTATGCATCAGATACTGGAAGATAAATAGGAATACAGTGGGACAGTATTCGAGCTATTTTAGAACTCAAGAAAGCCCATGGTTCACTAGGGGGGAAGTATGGTACAGCAGTCTCATTAAATTTGTTATATCCCAGAAACTAATTTGGCTAATTATAATATATTTTAATGAAGCTTGTACTAAAGTCTGTGTAGGTAAACATTTGTGTAATGTTCCTGTCTGTAATGGTCTGAAACAAGGAGATGCTTTATCACCACTGCTTTTCAATTTTGATTCTTAATATGCCATTAGGAGAGGCCAGAAAAACCAGGTGAGACTGAAATTAAATGGGACACATCAGCTGCTGGTCTATGCTGATGACGTGAAAGTACAGAATGATAACATACATACCATAAAGAAAAACACAGAAACCTAATTGACACTAGTAAGGAGGTTGGCCTAGAAGTTAATGTAGAGAAAACTAAGGATATGTTGCTGTTTTGTCACTGGTATTCAGGGCAAAGTCATGAGATAAAGGTAACTAATAGATCCCTTGAAAATGTGACAGTTAAAATATTTGGGTTTACAGTAACAAATCAAAATTTGGTTCATGAGGAAATTAAGAACAAATTAAATTTGGTGATGCTTATCACCATTCAGTTCAGAACTCTTTTTCTTTTTGTCTGCGATCTAAAAGTGTAAGGTTTAAAATATACAAAACTATAATTTTGGCTGTAGTTATATGTTGTTGTGAAACTTGGTCTCTGACATTAAGGGAATAACTTGGACTGAGGGCATTTGCTAACAGGGTGCTGAAGAGAATATTTAGACCTAAGAGGTATGCAATAATAGTTACCTGGTGAAAATTGCATGGTGAGGATTTTCATATTTTTTACTCTTCAGCTAATATTATTAGAATGATCAAATCAAGGAGGATGAAGTGAGCTGGGAATGTAGCGCATGAAAGCTGAAAGAAAGAGATCACTAGGAAGATGTATAATATATTAAATTGGATCTCGGAGAAACAGGGTGAGGGATTGTGGACTGGGTTCATCCAGCCCAAGATGATGTGCAGTAGTGGGCCCTTTTAACTTGGTAATTAACCTTTGGTTTCCATAAAAGCTTTTTTGAGTAGTTGAGCAACTGTCAACTTCTCAAGGAGGAGTCACATCACCGGAGTTAGTTGACAGAATCAACAATCAGCTGTTACTCATAAGAAGTTACTTCTTATAAGGGGATGCTGTGCAAAATTGTTGATTAGGTCACCAAACTCCTATTGCATATTGAGGTGTGTCAGTTTTTTATTTTTCTGGCACATTTTTTAAATTGATTTTTAAGCATTGTTGAATGTATATTATATGCATTTCTTGTAATGATCATTTTATGCTTGTGCCCAGGTATGGTGAGGTGGTTAACTTGAATTTGGTTCGTGACAAAGCAACTGGCAAATCCAAGGGGTTTTGTTTCCTCTGTTATGAAGATCAGCGAAGCACTGCGTTGGCAGTTGATAACCTGAATGGCATAAAAGTATGCATAACATAACTTTGTATCTACACATTAGCTGCAGAAAGTAAGAGGAATGGCTGTAGTTTCACATGCAAGACATACGAGTATGTGGCTGTATTGATTAAAAGGTTATGAAGGCTGTTGTAACTACAGACCGGCCATGATTTAATGATACGTCATTTCAGTTCTTGTTGCTGTCTGCCTCCATACATCTTTTACTGACAGTGATGTCAGTTATGGCAGCCTTGAAACAGCATTGACTGGCATCTGTATGTTGGCTAGGCCCATTGGCAGCTGTTTGTTTTATTTGCACTCATTGTTCTGCTAAATGTAATAGTATGTACTGTGAATGCTGGAAGCTTGGAACTACATTCTTCAGCATTTGCAGCTGAAGTGAAGATTTGACATCAGTGATACATTCGTTTGCTTGGGCTGAGTTTTACTACATAAGATGCAGACAAGGCCAAAGTTCAGTAAATTACAGCTCCACTATTGTCTTCCTACACAGTACAGTGGGCATGAAATGACCATACATTGGGGAGGCAATGTCTGTCTGCATATTTTATTGTGTAGTTTTCAATTAAATTTAGCATTAGGGACATATACTAAGAGTGCTGAGTGATTTATTTGGAGCATTTGTTTTATTAATATATTTAATGGAAGACAAAAATTATTTGTAAGCTGTATATGTAACTACTGTTACTATCATCAACAGATTTGCACTTTCAGTATGGGGACGTGTAGACTAATGCAGTGTACAGAAATGCAAACAGAACATTTTGAGGCTTTGTGTACTGTGGCTTAATTCATACTTTTATTCATATCTTTTGCTGTTACTTTGTAGTCTCAGCATCAGTGTTTCATGTGTAATTGCTAAAGACCCTGTCTTGTTCAGCTGCTTGGCCGCACGATACGTGTCGATCATGTGGCTGACTACAAGCCACCAAAAGATTCTGATAAACTGGATGAAGACACACGGAAACTCCACGCTGAGGGATGTGCACCATCACATGGCACTCTACCCATGAAACATGAAGAAGGTGAGTCATTAGGGCCAGTCATGACAAACAAAAGACTGAAGAAAAGATTTGAGGGAAGTACCAGGGGTTTTGGAGAATATTAAGTAATGAGAAGCTTCATAATTTGTACTGTTCTTATAATATTAGAGTGAAGAGATGACTGAGACATGAAGCACACAAGAGTGTAAGTGATAAATTAAAAATTTTGGTGGGAAAATCTTGAGGGATGGAATTACTTGTGATACCATGAAGTAAGTCTTAGGATAATATTAAGATGGATCTAATAGAAATGGAGCATAAAGGGTGGAGACAGGATTTAGTTGTCTCAGGTTAGGACACAGTGACAGAACTGGTGTGAAGTTTATGATGAATCTTCAGATTCTGAAGTAGGGACTTTCTTGACCAAGTATTGTGCTGCAACGTGAAGTAATCAGATAAAATATATGGGACTTCTGATTGGAATCTTCTTTTCTTAACCTTATTGTTTGGGAAAGGGGTTTTGAATCTCCGCATTTTAACTTGGCGAGGGGCAGGGGGTTGTAATGGCTGTAATATTTGAAAAATTCAATGGTCATTCAACTAGTATGCACAGTGAGCCAACCCAATATTATGATTATTGTAAAGGGTTCTGTTGATGGCATATAATACTGTGAATTCCCACTGTTGTGGGAATCTGCAAGCAGATCACCATTCTCATCCTTCACTAAGTTACTGCTAGGTTGGTAACCCCTCTTAAAGTTATTTATTCCTCTATACAGGTCTCTAATGTTCTTGTTCTTACAGTTCATTGCAAGCTCATCAATTTTGTCTTTCAGAGATTCCCTCTTTTTATTCCTGAAATGCCTGCTGCTTTCATGTCTTATATTGTTCAGATTATCCCCATTTAACTCGCTTGGATCCTGTAACCATTGCAGTTTGGCTTGTTTTCTTTGGTCTAATAATTTTGAGCATCCTTCATCAAACCATGGCGTATGCTTCCTCAGTTCATAATAACCTAAACTTTCCTTGGTGGAAATTCGATATTTTCTCTAATAGTTTCCCAAGATTTATTAACATCCACCTCAGTGTCCAAGTTTTCCAAAGCCGCAAACCTATTTGAGATTTCAACACGACACTGCTCTTTACCCTCTACCTCATTTAATCTTGAGATTGAATTCTTTCCATATGAATTCTGTGTGTTGTTTGTTTGCTCACTGCCAGTCTTTCCCTAACCTGTCCCACCCCCCGCTAATGGTCAGTATCACAAACTATCGCCATATATCCACAGAAACAAGAAACATAACAATACAATTGCAACAACATACAAAATAAGACATATTACACACATTCGGTGGTGATGAAGGGGTTGAAATGGAGGTGTGGAAGTGGCTGAGACAACAGTGAAAGAACTTATATGCTGCAGGTTTCGATGCACTGCTAAAGCGATGGGACAAGTGTAGCAGTGTTGGTTGAGGATATGTCGAGAAATAAATATCTTTTCCTAGGTTCGAATATCATATGTTTTATATCCATTTGTGACCTATTTACTGACTCCCTCATAGGTATGTATGTATATAATATATATTTAATTATATTATCATTTTATGGAAGGTCACATACTTTCCTGAGCTTATTTGAATTAATGTTGTAATATTTATCTTCATTTGGACAATATTTAAAATATTTTAGTTTATTGCAATAAATACCTGTGCATGGATGTCAGTTTGTCATTTAAAAATTTTGTTGAGCAGGTGTTTACTGTATACTTCTACAGTCTTGTTTGGCATAAAATGAAGTAGCAACACAAATGGTCTGTGATTATACAGTATGCGCCAAAACATACAGTACTGAAATGAAAAGACGTCCTATTGATACCACTGTCTATTCATGTGAAGGCCCCTTGCACGACAGAGCCTTCTCAAATCCTGAAGAAATGGCCCGATCACCATGTCCCTGTAGCGTTCTTTTGGTAATGGTAAGAGCATTGCCTTCCTCATCCTGAATGAAATAGGGGCCTAATATTCTGTGTGCTGAGACGGCACACCATATCGTCACACGTGTACTATGTAGTGGTTTCTTTATGATAAAATCTGGCCGCTCAAAACCAAGGAAGTGAGTTGTCTGATGACCACTTCCATATGAGCAGAAATAATACTCAACTATGAATACTTTTTCCTCCGTCGAGAGACCCATTTCCAACAACTGCACAACACAACTTCCTTTTCACTACTGGGAACACATGTGGCTGGAGCTATGCCCCGTCGACAAACGCACATGCGCGTTCGAGATGTGCGAGTTTCAGTACTACATATTTTGGCGCATACTGTATTTCTATCCCATTGTATGTTTGAAATATGTTTTGTGCCCCCGCGAGTATGTGAACAACAGTTTGGGAGGCACTGCTGTAGAACGTGTCAGAAACTTCGCAGTTCATCGCTCTTCCCATTTATTCCCAAATCTTGCAGTTCCAATATTGAAGAGCAAAAGAGAGGAACAATTGTAATTCTTGAAGTGAAATGACACTGACTGGAGGTGTGTTGATTTGCCCTTTTTAGTGACACGTTCTATAACTTCTGTACAACATAATCATTAATTATATGAAATCTGATTTAATTTTCAGAAAAGAAAGATAAATCTAAGACAAAATCAAAGAAAGAGAAGAAAAAGAAAAGGAAGAAGAATAAGAAGAAGAAGCAGGTTTCAAGTAGTGAAGAGAGTTCCAGTGACAATTCCAATTCACGTTCGGGTTCTGAAAGTGATATGAACAGTGAAGACAGTGTTGCAAGCCCACGCAACAAAAAACCGAAGCATAGCACGAAAAAGGGTGGAAAGAAACGTAAGAAAAAGTTAAAGGTTGCAACAAGTGACAGTGATACATCAACAGAAAATGAGACTATTAGGGAATCTCGTGAGAAGCGCCGTAAACTTGTTGAGAAAATTAAGACCCTGGAGGCTGTTCTTAATTATACTAGAAAAGCAGCAAAGAAACCAGGTGTCAGTGAAGAGTCATCATCAAAATCTAGGCCAGAGGAGTCAGTTGACAAGGCACATGATGAATATTATAGTCGCAAAAGTGAGAAAAGTTCTACCAGTGAACGAGCTGATAAACAGAAAAATCATTATTATGAGAATGGAACATCAGACAGAAAAGCAAATCGGGATGACAGCGTGTCCAGGAGGCAGGAGCAGGCAGCTGGTGAGGCTGGGGAGTGTGACGACAGGCGGTGGAGAAGGAGCAATGGTACAAATACTTCAAGAGATAGAGAAAGGTTCCGACCACAAGAGAGAAGTCGAGACAGAGACAGAGATTGGGATCATAACAGGTTTAGGGCACGTGACAGAGAACGATTTACCAGGGACAGGGACCGTGACAAACATTGGGATAGGGGTCAGGAACGTTATAGGAGGTGAGAGGTTATGTTGGAGTATTTGTACCTTTCATTTCATGTCCTACAGGTATGCAGTCTCACTGCCAAGCCACACAAGAAGCAGAAAGTGCAGAAAATGAAACGTTTTGCCTGGTTGTGCCATCTGTTAATGTGAGTGCCAAGTAGGTCAGATATGTGAACAGGAATTACATCTGATAGAAACCCAGTCTAAGCATCAGCAGACTGAATCATTGGTTGCAGATGCAACAGGGCCAGCCTCATTGTCTGAGTGAATTAGTTCACTGGCAGGGGCAATCAGAAAGTAAATTTACAATAATATTATATTTGAGCATCCTGTTGCATTTCTGTATCACTCACTCACTTCCATCTTTAATGCAACTTAAATCTATTCACAGTCTCTTTAATTTAAAATAACATTGAAATCACATCAATTGTTACAAGTTTTGGTCCTGTGTGGCCATCTTCAGGCAACCATTCACTCTTTGAAATTGTTGCACTGCACCAAATCGTTAAGTCAGTATATTTCCATGCTGTTTCATATAGTTCACAGTAAAATGTGTTTGTCTGAGACTCTCTCTCTCTCTGCATTCTGCTTTATTTTCCCTATGTGGTGTCCATATTTGTTCCCTTTTCTTATGTATGTTCTCCCTTATATACTTACGCTCAGCTAATGAGGACGTACATAAGAGGGCACAAGATGGACACCACATAAGGAAAATAACGCAGAATGCAGAGAGTTTTATTCTCAGACAAACATATTTTATGTAAGATTTGAGGTTTTCACGGCATTGTTAACACCACATCTACACGGCGCCGCATCCCAGAAGACTGCTTTCTTCAAACATATTTTAGTCTGAACAACGATATGCAATGGCATGGAAATATATTCACTTAACGATCCAGTGCAGTACGACAGTTTCAAAAAGTGAACAGTTGCCCAGTGGGGCCAAAACATGTAGCAATTGGTGTGATTTTAATTTATTGAGAGATTGTGAACAGTTTTAATTTCCATTAAAGACGGAGGAGAATGAGTAAGTTTACAAGGCATATAATCCCACAACTAAAGGATCTGCTCTGTTGAGGGTATGTTTGGATGAATTTGTTAGTCATTGTTAACAACACTGTATGTCAGTTTGCCTATTTGCCACATCTTATGTGTAGTAGTCAGTTGAACGAACATAGCTACTCGACTGGAGTGGTGGTCCAGGAATGAAGTCCATTCTGAATTCTGTCTTTGAATGCAAGAAATGCATTGGTGACAGAAATTCAGAGGTTTATAATGAATGTGCAATGAATCAGCAGAGTGTAAGGAACTGGTGTGTGGAATTTTGAGGTAGAAGAGGTATTGCAGAGAATTATAAGGAAGCAGCAGACCCAGAATAGCATGGGATGTAGCAGCAGTGTACTGTCGAAAGTACAGTCTGCAACAGAAGGATTGCAGCATGATGTGTATGTATTGCATGGCATTCTTGTCAACTTCATTCAGGACGTAGGGTATTTTAACCGAGTGTGTGCACATTGAATGCATCAAGCTCCAGTGGAAGACTGCAAGAAGGAGTGCACTGTGCACTGTCATATTTGCAACAGTATTCCATCAGATTTTTGTGAGTTCATTGTCACAGGAGGTGAGACATTTTAGCATACTCTAAAACAAAATTCACCTGCATGGAATGGAAACACCCGCGTTTTCCACAGTTAGAAAGATCAAGGTTATGAGGTCTTCTGGCAAAGTGATGGCCTTATTGTTTTGGGATCACAGAGATGTGGCAGCCTCTTGTACAACCCTGATATGTTTACATGTGGTAATTACACTAAGTGTCCTGTATTACCTCAGAAAGGTGTTCTGCTTCTGCTTGATAATGCACAGCTGCACTTCAACATGCCAACCAATAACTTTTCCAGCATTTTCAGTGGATGTTCAAGCATTCTACATATAGCCCTGATTTGGGACCTAGTGATTACCATCTTTTCCCAGCACTGAAGGACCATCTCAGAGGTCATAGGTTTCAAATTGATGACATGGAAGCACCAGTACAGTGATGACTGAATTCAGGGGACAGACTTCTACCAACAGGAGATAGAAAAACTCATCCCATGGTTTGCAGAGATTATGTTGAAAAGTAGTGGGATGACAGTATAATTACCCTGAATTTTTAATATCAGGGATTGTAATATAAAACCTAAAATTTTATGTTTTAAACTTACTTTCTGACTGACTTTTGTGGTAGAACCCAGAGTGGCGTTGAAAATGATCCTTAACCAGAGCAGTCTAGTCTGTCATCACAGTCTCCTTTCTCCCTAGTCTTCCATGTGGGCATTGTTCAAGAATTATCTGCACCTGCATTCTGCATACTTATGTACATTTACAGCTCCTCTTTTTATCCAGAATTGTATTTTTTAACCCTACTATCAGTGGCACCAAAAGGATAACCATATAGACTTGTTGGTTTGGAAATACTGGTGCCATTCAGTATATAGTCCTAAGATTATGTACCTTTCCTTCAACTGCATGAGAATTGTTCTGTTTATCTCCTTTCTTAAAGTGAAATATATAAAACACGATATTATAGAAGTTATAATAATCTATGTATGATCAGATTTTGTATAAAAAATTTAGGAAATTTTAATATTGTGGAAAATTGAATGGGTTTTTGTTCAGGAGGTGTTATGCCATGTCATGACGATTCACTGTAAATGTAAAAGTTTCAAATAAAAATAATTTTGAAATATAGTATGAAGATGTCAAAAGATGATGCAGTTTCAACTATGTATTTATTAAAGTACATGACAAAATTGTGTGACAATTTTTTATTATGAAATTTCACTAGCTGTATAGAAGATTAATTATACAGTATTGTAGGACTCAAAATCTATGCATCCGAGCCATTGTACGTCACATTAACATTTCCTGGAACACAGAAATATGCACTGCATGTCCACAGATCAGGAAACTCATATTTACAGAGTTTTGGATATTCCATTCCTTTTTCTGGGCAGTAGAAGATACACAACTATAATCTTTACAAGCTGTTGACAAGAAGATTAGAATTTTTGAGTTGTTGACAGGAGAATTAGAATTTTTGTATTATAGTGTATCAATAATTCATTTTCAGAACATTATTATTAATCCAAATTTTTATTAAACTGTTTGAGAGTGGACTCAGTCTTCAGATAAAAAGTCTGCTCCATTGAATGCTTGATATATATAGTTCCTGTCTTCAGACATGTAAAGTAACACGAGACAACATATAAACAGAGCACAACAGAAGCCATCTTTGGGAGTAAAATGTCAAAAATGGCATCTTTGGCCACGTGTATGGGATCTTGCACATAGGGCTGTGTGTAATGTTCTAGGAGGAAGGTAGCAAGTTACAACCTAGCTAGTGTATGATTATAGGTAATATGTCGTGTTAAAGTTTTTTGTACAATCATCGGGTTTGGTTTATCTCTTGTTAGGGCCTTAGTGGATTGTAGAAAACTTTTTCTGTTGGGGCCTGGGTCACTCCTCATGGTGCCCCTTCTGCCTTCTGGCAGCCTAAACTTTGCAACATTTTTTATTGCTAGTGAAATGGCACTAAACTTCGCCGACAAGCGGCGGTCCCTTGGTCGGTATAGTTCGCCTGCGGACTAAAATCGCGGGGTTTCTTTTTCCTTCGGAGTTAGGTGGGACTAAGTCCCTTATACTGCAACAACAACTGGCCTATTGTATTGGCCCCAGATGATAGGTGAGGGTGATTGTGGAGCAATTGGTGGAATGAAGATTGGCAGGGGAAACCGAAGTAATCGGAGAAAACCTTCCCCAGCGCCACTTTGTCCACCACTTGACCAGACCTGGGATCGAACTTGGCAGTAAGTTTTATTAATTTGCAGTCCATATCAGTATAATCGTACAGGGCGCGGCAAAGGAAATGCGTTGTGTTGGCAACCCTTGACGATGTGATGGCGGGAAGTATGCCATTTGTTAGTTTAACTGCTGGCGTGGCAGATGCCGTGGTACCTATCGAAGAATGGATCATGTGTTGTTAAAAAGCAGCGAATGTTTCACAAGCATTTACATATTGATCATCACGGAAAAGTTCCTTGCTGCAATACCATACAGTTATGAATAAGCTTCAGAACGAATTCTTCCACATTAAAAAAAGAATACACCAAGCCCTGTGCGTATAGCGCGATCGTCACAGAACGTTGAGGCTGTGATGCAGTCATTCGTAAGGAGTCCTAGGCGTTCCACCAGGAGACACTTTGTTGCTGTAGAAGAATTTTTACACAAGGATCTAAATTTCCATCCGTGCAAGGTGGTGCAAGGCGATCGTGACATGGCATACCATAGCAAGGTACCTGAGCGTTTCATCACAATTTTGTTCGACGATGTTATCATTATGACGGATGATGCACAGTTCCACTTGTCTGGCCGTGTCAATAATTAAAATTTTCGTGGCGAGCACGTCAGCCTGACCTCCCTGCTTCCGATTCCCCACCTCCCCCCTTTTGGGGTTAGCTGAAAGCGAAAGTGTACACAACCAGGCCACGGCCCATCGATGGCTTCAAGGTCGCAATTCGGAAGCAGATTTCAACGATCAGTGGGAGGAGGGATATCTGCAAGCCAGGTTTGAAGAGTGCGTATCCAGTGATGGTTAACATTTTACGAATGGGCTATTTAAACAAAATAAACAGAGACCTAATGAAATATACATGGAATAAAATACATTCATTTGTAAAAATTAAAAAGAAAATTTCACTGCTATATATACTTCTGACAATTGTCAGGTTCATGTACACTAGCGTCCACAAGTTTTCGTCGTTTCATAACGTAATTACGACCAATAACTATGCCACAAGCTGGAAGGTCGCGGGATCGAATCCCGGTGAGGTGGATTTTTTTTTTTCCAAGTTACTGAAATTAAACGGGACGCATCAGCTGTTGGTCTATGCCGATGATGTGAATCTACTGGGTGATAATGTAGATACCATAAAGAAAAACACAAACTTTAATTGATTCAAGTAAAGAGGTTGGGCTAGAAGTAAACACAGATAAAACTAAGTATGTGTTACTGTCTCGTCACCAAAATGCAGGGCAAAATCATGACATAAAGATATGTAACAGATGTTTTGAAAATGTGGCACAGTTCAGATATTTGGGAACAACGATAACAGATCGAAACCTCATTCAGGAGGAAATTAAGAGGAGATTGAACTTGGGCATGCTTGCTACCATTCAGTCCAGAATCTTTTGTCTTCTCGTCTGCTGTCCAAAAACAGAAATTAGAATATACAAAACTATAATTTTGCCTGTGGTTCTGTATGGGTGTGAGACTTGGTCTCTGACATTAATGGAGGAACATAGACTGAGGGTGTTTGAGAACAGGGTGTTGAGGAGAATATTTGGACTGAAGAGAGATGAAATGACAGAAGGTTGGAGAAAACTGCATAATGAGGAGCTTCATAACTTGTACTCTTCTCCAAGTATAATTAGAGTGATCAAGTCAAGGAGGATGAAGTGGGCAAGGAATGTAGCACGAATGGGGGAGACGAATGCATATAGGATATTGGTGGGAAAGCCAGAAGGAAACAGACCACCGGGAAGACAAAGGTGTAGGTGGGTGGACAATATTAGAATGGATCTTAGAGAGATAGGATGGGCTGGTATGGATTGGATTGATCTGGCTCAGGATAGGGACCAGTGGAGGGCTCTTGTGAACATGGTAATGAACCTTAGGGCTCCATAAAATGCTGGGAAATTTTTGAGTAGCTGCAGAATTGGTGGCTCCTCCAGAAGGGCTCAACTCCATGAGTAAGTAAGTAAGTACATTACATGACGGTCAAAAGGCCAAAACATATAGTAATTAATACTGAATGTAAACTGTGTCTATGCAGAAGGTTATGTTGATTGTATTAAATAAATTGAAAACCCAATACAGAAGTTACAACAACAACAACAACAACAGTGAAAAGAGCATATTTAAGTAAATGAACTTGAAGTGAGAACTGCTACTGTTTAATGCACATATTTATTTTAAAAAACTCACCTCAAAATATAATACCAAAATACATGAATCCAATCCATACCATCCCATCCTATCTCTCTCCACCCACCTACGCCTTGGTCTTTCTTGTGGTCTCTTTCCTTCCGGCTGTCACACCAATATCCTATATGCATTCCTCGTCTCCCCCATTCGTACTACATGACCTGTCCACCTCATCCTCCTTGACTTGATCATTCTAATTATACTTGAAGAAGAGTACAAGTTATGAAGCTCCTCATTATGCAGTTTTCTCCAACTTCCTGTCACTTCATCCCTTAAGTCCAAACTAAATACATACCAAAAAATGTGAACAACAAAAATAAAAATTTTAGGGATTACAAAACAGCCAGTCACAACAATAGATCCAAGATAATAAAAACATTTTTATCCAAAAGTACATAATCTTACAAATATATAGTTCACAGTAAATGAAAAGCAACTGCTAAGTACAGGATTAAAAACAGTTTACATTATAGACCAAAAGATTGGATTGAAACAGTAGCACTGGAAGCCGAAACAAACATAAAGCTATGCAAGAGAAATTGAACAAAACTCTCTTAAGGCACACAGTATCCAGAACAATCAAACACTTCCTCTAAAGGAACATAACAAAACACCACAACAGCAAAACAAGAATGGAAAACCCTGAAGTCCAAAAAATAATACCACCAACTGATAACAACACAAGGAGACAAAGGTAAAACAGTAGTTCTAATTCACCACCAGGAACAGAATAAAATTATCAGTGAGTTCTTACAGGCTAACCAATTCACACACATAACCCAATTAACCATTACTAAAGCAAAAACCGCAAAACAATCCCCTGAAAGGAACACTGAAGATACTAGAACATGAACTCAGAAACGCCTATCTCACATGTCACAGTCAAAATATCCGAAACCCCAGTAGCCATGTGACATATAATCAATTGGCATAACTCTCCAGCATACCAACTAGCTACATATATAACATAAGTGTTAAAAGAAAATATCTAAATACTAAACAAATATAACGTAAGAAATTCATTACAGCTCATTACAGACCTACAGAATTTACACCAAGGAAAGGATAGAAAGGTCTGTTCCTATGACATCTGTAATGTATAATACACAGGGCTTGAGGTGGGGCGGGATGCGGCGGGATGGCATCCCGGTTCTTTTCTAAATGGCTTAAAAGCATCCCGTTACTTCTTTGGCAGTAAATGCAATGTACAATACCCAGGGCTTGAGGTGGGGCGGGATGCGGCGGGATGGCATCCCGGTTCTATTTTCATTCCACCTCAAGCACTGTGTATACATGCAAACTAAGTTACTACTATGATACAGAATATGCTAACCCAAAACTACAACACAACATAACAGAAGAAATAAAGGATGTGACCAATAGAATACTGGCACAGATTTACTTCCAATTCAGTAATGATTATTACAAACAAGGTGAACTAGCAATGGGAGCCCCAACCTTCAAAATCCTTGCTGAAATATTTTTACAGTTCTTAGAGCACAGTGGCATGTACTACATTCTTAAAAACTGTAAGGTAATAAGCTATGTCAAATAGCAGGAAAGAACCTATTGTACCATTTTGGACATGTAGCAAACCATCACCAAAATATTGAAGAACAGCAGGGAATTCCTTGATCAGATAAATAGGAAGGACGAACAAGGGTTAAGAATTTGGAACATGGTCATTTTGAACGTAGGAATGAAGAAAATGCATCCTTTATACTCGATGCATTATATCAAATTTCTCATACAAACAAAACAAACTCCATGGCTTTAGTCTGCAAGCAAACTATACCAACCAAGCAATCGCTGCATGTTGGCAAAGTTAGTGCCAACTTTAGTGGTTAAAGGGTGTTGCATGATCAGCGCAACAAATCCCCACGGCCATTAATTTCGGTTTTCTATACTGGACTTTTCAATTCAAGTAGCTTCTGAATTATCCTCACAAGGCTGAGTGGACCCCATTCCAGACCCATTACTTCTCAGAAAATCTGGTAGTGCCGGGAAATGAACGCAGGACCTCTGGATCTGTAGTCAGGGACTCTGATCACTAGACCACAGTGGCAGTCTCAGAATAGAAAAGTATTCACAAGACACATTCTTGTATAAGACACTTGACATGTCTCTAGCTGTCATCCCAAACAATACTTTTGAGAGTTAACTGGAAGTAATACCTAATGGTAGGTTTTGATTTGTATCCATTCCAGTCTAAGTTACATTTGGTGGGAAAAGTCATATGATTGTAATGGTTCTATTCGTTTTATGAAAATGTTCCTTTTTTTTTTGGTATATTTAAATCTTACAGTTGAGGTGCATAGTTACGCTTTGTTTCAATTCGTTTTACATGGGACATACTGTAATTTGTGGAACCCTATGAACAAAATGTAATTGTCTGATGATGAGTAAGGCCACTGTTTATTTTGAGTTATCAAGGAAGCAGAAGTGGAATGCTTGTTTAAACAATTACAAATTTTAAAGCATTACGGAGAAAGTTGCATGTTTTATAATGTTTTATTGATTAATAACATGTACATATACCCACAAGTCACAAACATTATTTGAACATTCTTTATACAGAAATACAATACATTAATCTTAAGTAATTACTTTTATTTTGGATGGAATGCAAGAATTATATTATGCTTTAAAAATAAGCTGCAGATATTTTTGTTTGTGTGAAGTCCATTTATCAACATTTACAGGACATTGTACTGTAGCTAAGAGCAAGGAATATTCAAACGTTACAAATAATAGTTTCTTCAAATGAAATCTAGTGGCTTCAGTTTTTGAAGAAAACAGTGCATGTTGTGCTTTGCTTGAAGATATGTTGCCTTTTTCCAGTACACAAATATAACGAAAATTCTGAACCACAACATTTCTAACTCTTAGCTACTTCAGTATTGAGAAATTATTTCTCACTTATTTGCACAATAAAACTCTAAAGGCAGTCAGGATTGTTTCTACATTTGGCACATATTCATACTAAACTAACAACAGTTCTAGTAATACTTTATCTTTTGGCACTAAGTCATTAAAGCAATATGTAGTAAAAAATAAATGAGTACAAGTGAAAATTAGAGTATGGACCCTCTAAGCTGTACTAACCTAGCTACAGGGACTGAAAACTGCTGTGTATATGGTATGTTGGTGGGACCTATATTGTATTATGCACTTTAACCAAATATAATTGCCTGAAAAGATCATATGAATTGGACAGTATTTAATACAATGATTTATTTGTAGACAGAGAAATAAATATTAAAGTTAGCAGCCATATTTCAAGATAAATGCCACTTCAGCCAAAGGATACGTTTGTAGGTAGTCATAATTTTATATATATTTATAGGATTATTTATTAAGATAGTTAAGTAAGTATGGTTGCAAGCGAAGAGTTCAGAGATTCCATAGAAAGGTAATAGTGTTCCTGATTCTCCTCATAGCTATCCAAAGAACATTAAATGTTTTATTCTCTGAATTGATGCATTGGCCAAAACTACTTCAGCTTACTGTAAGAAGCAGATCCATTATGTATAAGCAGCTGCAGAAATGTGTTATTTTGGAGGATTCCCCAATCTCTTACTTCACAAGTGTTCATCAATTCCAGCGTCCTTATTCTTTTACGAATTTTTTGTTTCGTGGTTTTGTCTTTCCCTTCCTCATTTCCTGATTGGCTTTCTTCTTGGTAATTTATGTTCTCTCATTGTTATTATAGTCCTATACCATGTCAAAAATTTGTTTTCTGTCCTTTGCACACTCTTTCCTTATACTGTATGTCTATTATAACAACAATTTCATTTTGTGCTCAGTTCCACCCAGTCATCCTCAGACATTTTTGCCATGAAGTAGTATATAGGTACATTCAAATGTAGAATAATATATAATTTACAAGAGCCATAATTATTTTTTTCTTAATTCTTATATATTATGGTTTTTATTGCTCACAATGGACAGAAAATTGAAGTTCATTTTCATTAATCTCTGCTTGTAATATGGCTGCATTTACACAATATGTCTAATACTCAACTATCTTGGGATCTGAAATTCCAGAACCAGTTCTATCACCATAGTACAGTGTATGTTTATTGCAGTAGCATAATGATATATGGATTATGATTTTAACCTGATGTGTCCTTACTTAGATAGTGCCATGTGAGAGTGTTTTTGAGATA